GTGGTGTGGTGTGTGTGGTGTGGTGTGGTGTGGTGTGGTGTGGTGTGGTGTGGTGTGGTGTGGTGTGTGTGGTGTGGTGTGGTGTGGTGTGGTGTGGTGTGGTGTGGTGTGGTGTGGTGTGTGTGGTGTGGTGTGGTGTGGTGTGGTGTGGTGTGGTGTGGTGTGGTGTGGTGTGTGTGGTGTGGTGTGGTGTGGTGTGGTGTGGTGTGGTGTGGTGTGGTGTGGTGTGTGTGGTGTGGTGTGGTGTGGTGTGGTGTGGTGTGGTGTGGTGTGGTGTGGTGTGTGTGGTGTGGTGTGGTGTGGTGTGGTGTGGTGTGGTGTGGTGTGGTGTGGTGTGTGTGGTGTGGTGTGGTGTGGTGTGGTGTGGTGTGGTGTGGTGTGGTGTGGTGTGTGTGGTGTGGTGTGGTGTGGTGTGGTGTGGTGTGGTGTGGTGTGGTGTGGTGTGTGTGGTGTGGTGTGGTGTGGTGTGGTGTGGTGTGGTGTGGTGTGGTGTGGTGTGTGTGGTGTGGTGTGGTGTGGTGTGGTGTGGTGTGGTGTGGTGTGGTGTGGTGTGTGTGGTGTGGTGTGGTGTGGTGTGGTGTGGTGTGGTGTGGTGTGGTGTGGTGTGTGTGGTGTGGTGTGGTGTGGTGTGGTGTGGTGTGGTGTGGTGTGGTGTGGTGTGTGTGGTGTGGTGTGGTGTGGTGTGGTGTGGTGTGGTGTGGTGTGGTGTGGTGTGTGTGGTGTGGTGTGGTGTGGTGTGGTGTGGTGTGGTGTGGTGTGGTGTGGTGTGTGTGGTGTGGTGTGGTGTGGTGTGGTGTGGTGTGGTGTGGTGTGGTGTGGTGTGTGTGGTGTGGTGTGGTGTGGTGTGGTGTGGTGTGGTGTGGTGTGGTGTGGTGTGTGTGGTGTGGTGTGGTGTGGTGTGGTGTGGTGTGGTGTGGTGTGGTGTGGTGTGTGTGGTGTGGTGTGGTGTGGTGTGGTGTGGTGTGGTGTGGTGTGGTGTGGTGTGTGTGGTGTGGTGTGGTGTGGTGTGGTGTGGTGTGGTGTGGTGTGGTGTGGTGTGTGTGGTGTGGTGTGGTGTGGTGTGGTGTGGTGTGGTGTGGTGTGGTGTGGTGTGTGTGGTGTGGTGTGGTGTGGTGTGGTGTGGTGTGGTGTGGTGTGGTGTGGTGTGTGTGGTGTGGTGTGGTGTGGTGTGGTGTGGTGTGGTGTGGTGTGGTGTGGTGTGTGTGGTGTGGTGTGGTGTGGTGTGGTGTGGTGTGGTGTGGTGTGGTGTGGTGTGTGTGGTGTGGTGTGGTGTGGTGTGGTGTGGTGTGGTGTGGTGTGGTGTGGTGTGTGTGGTGTGGTGTGGTGTGGTGTGGTGTGGTGTGGTGTGGTGTGGTGTGGTGTGTGTGGTGTGGTGTGGTGTGGTGTGGTGTGGTGTGGTGTGGTGTGGTGTGGTGTGTGTGGTGTGGTGTGGTGTGGTGTGGTGTGGTGTGGTGTGGTGTGGTGTGGTGTGTGTGGTGTGGTGTGGTGTGGTGTGGTGTGGTGTGGTGTGGTGTGGTGTGGTGTGTGTGGTGTGGTGTGGTGTGGTGTGGTGTGGTGTGGTGTGGTGTGGTGTGGTGTGTGTGGTGTGGTGTGGTGTGGTGTGGTGTGGTGTGGTGTGGTGTGGTGTGGTGTGTGTGGTGTGGTGTGGTGTGGTGTGGTGTGGTGTGGTGTGGTGTGGTGTGGTGTGTGTGGTGTGGTGTGGTGTGGTGTGGTGTGGTGTGGTGTGGTGTGGTGTGGTGTGTGTGGTGTGGTGTGGTGTGGTGTGGTGTGGTGTGGTGTGGTGTGGTGTGGTGTGTGTGGTGTGGTGTGGTGTGGTGTGGTGTGGTGTGGTGTGGTGTGGTGTGGTGTGTGTGGTGTGGTGTGGTGTGGTGTGGTGTGGTGTGGTGTGGTGTGGTGTGGTGTGTGTGGTGTGGTGTGGTGTGGTGTGGTGTGGTGTGGTGTGGTGTGGTGTGGTGTGTGTGGTGTGGTGTGGTGTGGTGTGGTGTGGTGTGGTGTGGTGTGGTGTGGTGTGTGTGGTGTGGTGTGGTGTGGTGTGGTGTGGTGTGGTGTGGTGTGGTGTGGTGTGTGTGGTGTGGTGTGGTGTGGTGTGGTGTGGTGTGGTGTGGTGTGGTGTGGTGTGTGTGGTGTGGTGTGGTGTGGTGTGGTGTGGTGTGGTGTGGTGTGGTGTGGTGTGTGTGGTGTGGTGTGGTGTGGTGTGGTGTGGTGTGGTGTGGTGTGGTGTGGTGTGTGTGGTGTGGTGTGGTGTGGTGTGGTGTGGTGTGGTGTGGTGTGGTGTGGTGTGTGTGGTGTGGTGTGGTGTGGTGTGGTGTGGTGTGGTGTGGTGTGGTGTGGTGTGTGTGGTGTGGTGTGGTGTGGTGTGGTGTGGTGTGGTGTGGTGTGGTGTGGTGTGTGTGGTGTGGTGTGGTGTGGTGTGGTGTGGTGTGGTGTGGTGTGGTGTGGTGTGTGTGGTGTGGTGTGGTGTGGTGTGGTGTGGTGTGGTGTGGTGTGGTGTGGTGTGTGTGGTGTGGTGTGGTGTGGTGTGGTGTGGTGTGGTGTGGTGTGGTGTGGTGTGTGTGGTGTGGTGTGGTGTGGTGTGGTGTGGTGTGGTGTGGTGTGGTGTGGTGTGTGTGGTGTGGTGTGGTGTGGTGTGGTGTGGTGTGGTGTGGTGTGGTGTGGTGTGTGTGGTGTGGTGTGGTGTGGTGTGGTGTGGTGTGGTGTGGTGTGGTGTGGTGTGTGTGGTGTGGTGTGGTGTGGTGTGGTGTGGTGTGGTGTGGTGTGGTGTGGTGTGTGTGGTGTGGTGTGGTGTGGTGTGGTGTGGTGTGGTGTGGTGTGGTGTGGTGTGTGTGGTGTGGTGTGGTGTGGTGTGGTGTGGTGTGGTGTGGTGTGGTGTGGTGTGTGTGGTGTGGTGTGGTGTGGTGTGGTGTGGTGTGGTGTGGTGTGGTGTGGTGTGTGTGGTGTGGTGTGGTGTGGTGTGGTGTGGTGTGGTGTGGTGTGGTGTGGTGTGTGTGGTGTGGTGTGGTGTGGTGTGGTGTGGTGTGGTGTGGTGTGGTGTGGTGTGTGTGGTGTGGTGTGGTGTGGTGTGGTGTGGTGTGGTGTGGTGTGGTGTGGTGTGTGTGGTGTGGTGTGGTGTGGTGTGGTGTGGTGTGGTGTGGTGTGGTGTGGTGTGTGTGGTGTGGTGTGGTGTGGTGTGGTGTGGTGTGGTGTGGTGTGGTGTGGTGTGTGTGGTGTGGTGTGGTGTGGTGTGGTGTGGTGTGGTGTGGTGTGGTGTGGTGTGTGTGGTGTGGTGTGGTGTGGTGTGGTGTGGTGTGGTGTGGTGTGGTGTGGTGTGTGTGGTGTGGTGTGGTGTGGTGTGGTGTGGTGTGGTGTGGTGTGGTGTGGTGTGTGTGGTGTGGTGTGGTGTGGTGTGGTGTGGTGTGGTGTGGTGTGGTGTGGTGTGTGTGGTGTGGTGTGGTGTGGTGTGGTGTGGTGTGGTGTGGTGTGGTGTGGTGTGTGTGGTGTGGTGTGGTGTGGTGTGGTGTGGTGTGGTGTGGTGTGGTGTGGTGTGTGTGGTGTGGTGTGGTGTGGTGTGGTGTGGTGTGGTGTGGTGTGGTGTGGTGTGTGTGGTGTGGTGTGGTGTGGTGTGGTGTGGTGTGGTGTGGTGTGGTGTGGTGTGTGTGGTGTGGTGTGGTGTGGTGTGGTGTGGTGTGGTGTGGTGTGGTGTGGTGTGTGTGGTGTGGTGTGGTGTGGTGTGGTGTGGTGTGGTGTGGTGTGGTGTGGTGTGTGTGGTGTGGTGTGGTGTGGTGTGGTGTGGTGTGGTGTGGTGTGGTGTGGTGTGTGTGGTGTGGTGTGGTGTGGTGTGGTGTGGTGTGGTGTGGTGTGGTGTGGTGTGTGTGGTGTGGTGTGGTGTGGTGTGGTGTGGTGTGGTGTGGTGTGGTGTGGTGTGTGTGGTGTGGTGTGGTGTGGTGTGGTGTGGTGTGGTGTGGTGTGGTGTGGTGTGTGTGGTGTGGTGTGGTGTGGTGTGGTGTGGTGTGGTGTGGTGTGGTGTGGTGTGTGTGGTGTGGTGTGGTGTGGTGTGGTGTGGTGTGGTGTGGTGTGGTGTGGTGTGTGTGGTGTGGTGTGGTGTGGTGTGGTGTGGTGTGGTGTGGTGTGGTGTGGTGTGTGTGGTGTGGTGTGGTGTGGTGTGGTGTGGTGTGGTGTGGTGTGGTGTGGTGTGTGTGGTGTGGTGTGGTGTGGTGTGGTGTGGTGTGGTGTGGTGTGGTGTGGTGTGTGTGGTGTGGTGTGGTGTGGTGTGGTGTGGTGTGGTGTGGTGTGGTGTGGTGTGTGTGGTGTGGTGTGGTGTGGTGTGGTGTGGTGTGGTGTGGTGTGGTGTGGTGTGTAAATAAA